ATAAATATTATTGATTTCACTTACTGATTCATTTCTCTGCTCATTTAAGAAAGAAAAACAGATTTCTCTAAAAGATTATTATCTAAACTTGCTCTTTTTTTTTTTTTCACTTAATCACTTGTGAACTGATTCCTATGGATCTTTTGCATCCATTTCTCCATTAAACTACTTTGTCAAGGTTAAAAATGTTAAATCCAATAGTCAATTTCCAGTTTTCATTTTACCAGACTCTCTGTTTTATCTATCTCTCTTCCTGTGGCAACTACCACTCTCTTTTCTTTGCTGGTTCTTCCCTATCTTTCCTAATTTTATATTGTAGGATCTCCAGGATTAACCCTTGATCCTTTTTTCTACATACCCTCCACACCTTGAATTTCTCACTCAGATCACAGATTTATTCTTTATCTCATCTATATGCCAACACATCCTAAATTTTATGCCAACCTTGATTTTTCCCTTAAGTCTACACTAATATATAGAGATATATAATTATCCTTGTCATTCTAATATGCTCTCAGATATAACGGGTCCAAAGCCAAAATCTTGGTCTTTCATGCCAAACCTGTTTTTTTTTTTTGTAATTCCTCCATTTTAGTAAATGACAACACTCTCCTTTCATTTGCTCAATCAAATATTTTCGAATCATCCTTGACTCAACTTTACTTAGAAATCCCATACCTTTCCTTATTAAAAATGTTATAATATTTCTCCTTTTTTCTATCTTATTTCAATAGAGCTCAGAATTATGATTTTTTTCAGAATTATAATTTTAAGACTTATGTCAATTCTTATCACTCTCTGCTCAAAAATCTCCCATGGTTTTCCATGTCACTCAGAGTCAAACTCATGAAGAGTCCATATGGCACTCCAAATTCTGACCTGTGTTATTTCTTTGACTTCATTTCCTATTAATTATTCCTTAATTCATTCAGTTCCCACAATAGCCCCTTGCTTTAATTCAAAGTATCCTAGAATATCTCTCAGGGCTTTTGAAATTACACATCTGTCTGGAATTGTTTGTTTTACAGACATTCAAATGGCTTATTCCTTTGTCCCCTTCAGATTTTTTACACATGCCAGTGAAGGTTTTCCTGTCTTGCAGCTCCTTCTACACTCTTCTCTCTTCTCTGCTTTGTTATCTTGACTGTACTTGTAAACATATTCAGTAATATTATATTTAATTTATTTATGCCCTTATATATTGTCTTTTGCCACCAGATTGTAAGACCCATCAAGACTTTTTTTGGTCTGTTTTGCTCAGTATTTAGATCTTTCCACCCAGAAAAAGACTAAAAGCATATTAAGCACACAATAAATATTCATTGGATGAATGAACGCTAAAAATTTTGAAGAGAACTTAAGTTTAGTGAAATTTATGGGGTTCAGAAGAACTTTATTACAAGGAGATAAATAATTTGATGGATGCCATTGTGGATGCTCAGCAGATAGACGGATATATAGGTCTAGGAGTCATATTAGAAATGAGTAAGAATATATATAGAAAGAAGTGATAATTGAAGCCCCAAGAAGGAATATAGTGGCCAAAAGTGAGTATTGAGACAGAAGAAAGATGAGTTGACATTGGTATCAAGAACCAAACTTGAACGCATCTCTGCCTCCTGCTTTCTCTTTTTACCTGTTATTTCCTCTCTACCCCTAACTCCCCTGAAAAAAGGTATAAACATTTTACAGTGCCAATCTACATCAAATAATTAAGTTACAATTTATAAGGCATGAATAATTGAGAATATTAACGTTTCTGAAAAATTTCTGTATAGATACATATCTATTTTTATAATCTCCAAATTAATAAAGATGTCGCAGAATTATTTTTGAAAAAAGTTGTTATATTTTTGCCTACTTGCAATATTCAAAATATTTTCCCCTTTATCAAGAGTGAATTGCATATTTTTGTTGCTTTCTTTTTTAATAGTACATAGGGACATTTCATATTTTCTAAAATTTTACCACCCTTTTCATATCTGATGCCCTTAATATGGATCAATATCAAAAGTAATTCAGAATCTTCATAATCTGGCTGCATAAAGAACAGGAGGACTTCAAAGTTAAGTTAAAGCAATAGAAAAGCTGCTAGTTGACAAGTAACATATCATAGTGCCACTGTAGTGGATTCTTAAGAATAAAGCTTCTGAAATAATTATGATGGAATAACTAAAATCATTTTTAGATTGAAGTATTTTAGGAAATTAGAATAGTTAAATCTTTCCTGCTTTCTAGAGTAAGTCAACATTTGCCAAAGGAAACTATGAAATACTGACATTTTGAAGGGAATTACTGAGAAAGCATAGGTATTTTATGTATATTATGTATATTTTACAGTACTATGAATGAATTTGTGTTGTGCTCTATTGTGCTTCTACTGCATGATCTGATAAACTATTCTGAAGGTGAATTATTTTGCTTAAATAATTTCCTGGTGCATAACACATATGATATCTCCCAATTGAATAGATACTTTGTATTGTTTTCCATCATCACACACTCCAAATTGCAAACACTATTACTAATGTGCATATAAATTGTAATTCTACATCTTTTATTATAAATATGAATTATATAGCAACAACTTTGTAGGCAATTTCATATGGTTTACTACCCTCTAGTTATCCTTTTTGTGATGTTTATCATACAGACTCCATTAAACATATGTATGAATTTGCCTTTCTCAACCCTCTTGGAATTAAAACATTTTATGGAACTACTGATGGTTTTCCATACCTGATCACCAAAGCTGATGTCAGCTTTTAAAATCTATCCTGAGCATCACCTCATGATTTTACAGTTAGTCTGACATCATTCCTGGATTGAAAATAATCAAAATAAAACAAAACAAAACTCTTATATATATATACATATATATATATATGTATATATATATATATATTTTTTTTTTTCCCCCAATGTGGTCCACAAATTTCCTTAAGGATCCAAATGTGAAACATATTTTAAAAAATCCAAATGATTAGTGGGCCTTGGCTGATTTTTTTTTTTAACAACCAAATACAACAAATTTAAACAACCAAATACAACAATTAAAATTAATTACATTTAGGATTAATGCATGCAGGATATTTTGGAATTGAACGATTTGGCTCCTAGTGCCATAAACATTCATAATCTTTCACTTTCAGCACTTCTTATTCAGTGACTTATGATAAATTGTAACTTATTCTAAGGAATAATAGAGAATATTGTTTTTTTGGGTTTTTTTTGGAACATAAATCAGTATTTATTTATTTTTATTTTTATTTTTTTTTCATTTTTTAAAATTTATTTTCAGCATAACAGTATTCATTGTTTTTGTACCACACCCAGTGCTCCATGCAATCCATGCCCTCTCTAATACCCACCACCTGGCTCCCCCAACCTCCCACCCCCCCACCTCTTCAAACCCTTCAGATTGTTTTACAGAGTCCATAGTCTCTCTTTGTTCACCTCCTCTTCCAATTTCCCCCAACTCCCTTTTCCCAACTCCCCATGTCCTCCATGCTATTTGTTATGCTCCACAAATAAGTGAAAACATATGATAATTGACTCTCTCTGCTTGACTTATTTCACTCAGCATCATCTCTTCCCGTCCCATCCATGTTGCTACAAAAGTTGGGTATTCATCCTTTCTGGATGGAGGCATAATTCTCCATAGTGTATATGGACCACATCTTCCTTATCCATTCTTCCATTGAAGGGCATCTTGGTTCTTTCCACAGTTTGGCAACCGTGGCCATTGCTGCTATAAACATTGGGGTACAGATGGCCCTTCTTTCACTACATATGTATCTTTGGGGTAAATACCCAGTAGTGCAATTGCAGGGTCATAGGGAAGTTCTATTTTTAATTTCTTGAGGATTCTCCACACTGTTCTCCAAAGAGGCTGCACCAACTTGCATTCCCACCAACAGTGGAATAGGGTTCCCCTTTCTCCACATCCCCTCCAACACATGTTGTTTCCTGTCTTGCTAAATTTGGCCATTCTAACTGGTGTAAGGTGATATCTCAATGTGGTTTTAATTAGAATCTCCCTGATGGCTAGTGATGATGAACATTTTTTCATGTGTCTGATAGCCATTTATATGTCTTCATTGGAGAAGTGTCTGTTCATATCATACAGCAATTCAGTAACGTGGCAGGATACAAAGTAAATGTACAGAAATCAGTGGCTTTCTTATACACTAACAATGAAAATACTGAAAGGGAAATTAGAGAATTGATTCCATTTACTATAGCAACAAGAACCATAAGATACCTGGGAGTAAACCTAACCAAAGAGGTAAAGGATCTGTACTCGAGAAACTACAGAACACTCATGAAAGAAATTGAAGAAGACACAAAAAGATGGAAGACCATTCCATGCTCTTGGATCAGAAGAATAAACATTGTTAAAATGTCTATACTGCCTAGAGCAATCTATACTTTTAATGCCATTCCAATCAAAATTCCACCAGTATTCTTCAAAGAGCTGGAGCAAATAATCCAAAAATTTGTATGGAACCAGAAGAGAATATTTTTAAAATTATTTCAATCCAAATCTATCATGTGAAATATGTATAGAGAGATTCAAAATATATTTTAAGCTACTCCAATGTTTTGTACTTTACCAAGAATAAAATTTTATTCTGATCAAATATATTTCTATTTAGCATTTATCAATACTGAAATGACTTTCACAGATAATAAAAATGCCTAGTATTTCTAGCTCTTAGACTGTCATGTTTTGAAGTAAATCTGTAATACATATGATATTTATATATTGAATAAAAATTTCTACAGTTTCTATACATTTGATGTATATATATATAGAAAGATTCAATGTATATTGATTCAAATCATGTTTATTGAGCTTGGAAAAAAACTCATTGTCTAGTTGTCTAGTTATTATCAACTTTTTAAAAGAAGTTGATTTTTATTTTATTTAAAGCATTTCTTTAACCCACTGAGCCACCCACGCGCCCCTATCTAAAGCATTTCTTTTTCCCTTTCAGGAGCTGGAATTTTCAAATCTATTTGCTGTTCTTCACTGCATTCATTCATTTTTTGCTGCCAAAGTAGCTTGTTTGGACCCTCTCTTTTTAGGCAATCAGGCTACCGCTTCTGCTGCTGCCAGCTCTGCTACTACAAGCAAAGCAAAGTACACAACTTGACATACCGAGATTTGCATCATCACTTACTATGACTGTATAAAGAAAATAAACATAATCATCATTTTAGACCCTGGAGAAACAATCATATCACCAAGTAAACAGTGAATTCAGTTTGAAATTTGAACAGAAAGCAAGGTCATAAGGGATCTCAAAAGCACTTCTATTTTGGAAGACATTGTGAATAATCTTAAGTGAACATAACAGCTTGTTCTCAGTTTATTTGTACCATCGAAAGTGAAGACAAAAGAATGAATGATTCAACGTATGTAAATAATATACAAATTGTAAGCTACCTATAAATAAAAGTACCACTTAAATGGTTATTTCTGTATTTTAGATTATTTTGTATGACAAATACATGTTGGGCCAGATCATGAACGAATGCCCTATCATTGAATTTTGAGTGATATAAAGAAGGCAAATAAACCACATGGCAGCGAAGAAAATAGCATGTAAAAAATTTCATCAAAGAAGAAAGCACTTTAATTTGCTAATGTAGATTTTCCTTGCATCCTCTTTCTGCAATATGACACTGGCATTCCAATTTTATCTTGTTGTCAACTATTCCTAAGATTTTCAAAAGAATAAATACATCGATTCTATGATAGTTACAATGTAAAATGTACTATTTTTCCTTAAATCACTGATATCAATGTTTTATTGCTGCTAGTGTCAACCAAATATGCTGACATGTGTTAATTTAATTATGAACCAAGAAAACATTCATGAACCTCTTGTTCTTTCCTTCATTTAAGAAGGTTTATACTTACCTAATGGGATTTGTTATCAAATTAAAGTTTCATAAATTTTCAGTGACCCCAAAAACTTTTGTAGAGAAAATAATACAAAAAATGTGGTATGAGAAACTCATACAATTCTTTGTATTCTAATCTACTAGTTAATCATGGACTGAAATGACCTTAGAGTGTAGTCTCAGTTTTACTTATTTCAGGAAAATGATATTTTCCCATTTTAGAAATATTTTATGAGAAAGTAAGGTGAGATATGAAAATACAATTTTTAATTTCTAGCTTACCATGTCGTAAAGGTGATTATATAATGCAAGACTATGTGGGTTATTTTAGTTATCTTGTCTTACTAAATGTGAAGAAGCTGGAAATTTGAAAGTATCAGAGGTATGGGCACCTGACTCAGACCCTGGTATTATATAACTATTGGTTTAAATGTGGAAAACACTGTCTGTCCTTTACTACAGCTGTACTGAGATCTGCTTTTAAACAACTAGCTGCCTATTAAAAAAAAAGAAAAAAATACTTTTTTTAAAAATTAACACATGTGTTCCCAACTAAATCAAACATAGATAGTTCCTTGTGAAGATGATGAACTATCCAATAAGGTGGTTTAATTTTCTTTTTTAAATAGGAAAAAAAAAGTACTCAAGAAGGAAACAAAATTATTTGCAAAAGGGACACATGATCATTATGCTTTAAAATTTACTAAACCATTTTCATAATCATCATAAATTATTTATACACTATGCATCTGGTTAATTCTTAAGCATGTTAAATTAAAAAGAAAAATTGAAGGTTCATCATTGTACCTGGCAAGAGTTAAGCTGGATCTAGGACACCTTACTAAAAGAACTATGGCTAGTTGGACACTACATAGTTTAAATATATTTTATCTTGACCATAAAATTAATTAATTATATTCATAATTGGGATGACACTGTGGAAATATTGCTTACTAAGTATTCACCAAATAGAATAGTCATTCTAAAGTCAGAAGTCCACCAAAAGCAGACTAGAGTAAGCCTCTGTTGAGCATATGGGGGAAGAGCAGAGGGAGGCATCTACCTTAGGGTCAGAAGCAGTAGTAGCCACTTCATTATAGAATCTCTGCTATGAGCTAGAGTTGTATCTTGGTGTGCCCCACATTGGGGTAACATTTATGTGTCCACAGTGTGATAATCTGGTCTATTAAGTAATATGAAGTGGGCTAGTTAGCCAAAAGGAAAAAAAAATAGTTTTAAAACTTAAATACCTGTTATATAATCATTTTTAATAAATAAAATATCAGATTTTTGTAAAAGCTCCATTTTAAATATACAAAAAAACAATTTAATCAAATACCCTTTTTCATTATATCATAAAAATCTTCTAGTCTGTGCTTATGTGTATGATGAAGGAAAAGGTGCACAATGAGATATGTATGGGTATATATCTCCTTGTACAACACACACACACATATACATGTGTGTATATGTATATAATAAAATGCTACCCTCAAAATATATTAGAATTATTAGAATATATTTCAAGTAATATATTTAATATACTTTAAATTTACACTGTAAATTGTAACTTGAATTAAAATTTATGATAATACAATATTGTGTTTATTTTTGATACCATTGATAAAAAGCTAACAGGCCTAAATTACTATCCAACATTAGTGGAGCACCTACTTATTAGAAAAATATTATTCTGATGTTCATCAGTTATAGTATTTAACATTTCCTTTACAGTGGAATGATTAACCACTGTCATTTGTTATAACTTGGACTATTTAAATGAGAAAGCTTAAAAATGAACAAAATAATCAGACAAATCTCCATTTCTCATGTAATTTATGTTTAGGTGCATGAGATTTATTCATGAAATCCTAATTTGTACTAGAGCACATTTTAATAGCTGAATGCTTATTTATGTGTTAACCCCTCCAGTGCCTTGGGATATGTGTGTATGTGTGTGTGTGTGTGTGCACATTATACATATATATGTATGTATATACATACATATATATAAACATATGTATATATGCACATACATATATATGCACATTAAAGGATTCATTCTAGTGTACATAGTGCAAGCTCAAGGGGAATATTATATTATAGGTACTTAAGTCAGAGAAGGAAGTTCAAATATCATTTGAAGTCTTTGTTAACTATTATAATAATGTATTTTGCCTGAAAAGAATAATAATTAATTAAAGCTGAAGTATATTGAAGCAGGGGCATTTTTAATTTGTTATATTGCAACAAATATTTATTTAAGAAATACTTTAAGATAATGTAAGTGTAACATATACCCCAACATTTATCATCCAACGCTATTTTAAAGGGAGAATAACTAGCTAATCATTTTTGCCCTTTTTTCAGGCAGGTACCAAATTAGAGTTTTAAAGTCTTTGCTCACAAAACTGGCATTAAACAGGAAGAAAAGTAATTACTTGAAAATAAATATCAAGTTCATATTAACCATATTAGCAGAGAAACTTTCCTTTGGGTGCATTGGTTTTAGATGGACATTTTCTTCATTTACGAGGACAAAACTTGTTCATAAACTCTGTTTACATGATATGCTGGGTTTGCAAGAAGGTTGTTTTCTTATTGTGGAAAAGTAATAATCTTAACAATTATTTGAGTTACTGCTAGAAATCAGCAGGTGGAGAAGCTTTAAAAGCACAAGGATAATCTTGTGCTTAACTTTTTAAGGTAAGTGTACATGTTCCGAATTAATAACAAACATTTTGCTACTCTTAATAGTGCTGTATTCATGAGCTCTTCTTAAGGAATTGCTTTATTCATACCTCTAAAACTCTTGTTTATGATTTATTCTTATTCCTTAACACTTTAAAATCATAATTCACTTATTTGCACATTTGAAGTTGCTTTTGAAGATAAACAAAATATTATAAATGTTATATATTTTATACATATTAAAAATGCAATGAAAATACCAGAAATATGAAATGTAAATATATTTATTTCATTTTTAATTGTTTTGGTGGATGTTTGTAAAATGTAAATTAATATCTGTGACAAAAAATTTGTCACTTTGTTCTTTAAGTTCATTAATGTATCACTAATAAAACTGTACCTTTTTTAATGAAGCATACTGGAAAATAAAAACAAATACTTTTTACTACATTTGTATTTTTACTTCGTGGGTTTGATTTATAAGTTTCACATGTGTTTAGAGCATGATTCTGATGAACTTAACTGTAATGAACAGGGGCAGATAAGAGCTGTCAGCCTGGGGTGCTGGTCTCTGGGGGCATGATCTGTTCTGGTTCATCAGTATTTATGAAGATTAGACATCTGACCCCTAAAGACCTAAAGATTGAAAAAAAGATGTATTTGCCAAATTACTTAAACAACCAGACTTGCAACTTTTGGAAACATGACAACTTTGATATTTTCACAGTGGTTCATTGTGAGGCAAATCTACATTGAGAGGACTGGTCTAACAGGGTATAGACATCTGCCTATTTTTAACTGAGAAGGCCACAGTTGTCTTTCAGGTAATTACAGTGCCATAAAAGAGAGTGATTACAGGAATCAGTTTAAAATAATTATTTCAGTTGTTATTCCAGTTGATATCTATATTATTATTCCAGTTGTTAAATGAACATCTCTCATTTTTTATATATTTTTGTTTTGAAAAAAAAAAAAAAAACTCTGCTGAAAAAATAGTACATGCCCATCATTAGTAATTTAAGCCACTAAAAAATATTAAAAAGTAGATACTATATTAAATCTTACAACCACAAAAATAAACAATTCATTTTAGAATTATATATATATAGATACATATACATCTATATCTATATCTATCTATCTATATCTATATCTATCTATATACATATATTATTTTATATAAAGCCGAAAAGAAATATAATTAGTTGAGAGACTGATGTACAAGGGCATGGATTAAAATGCTTCTATAAATATATTCTTTCAAGAAGTACAATATAAAACAGATAACTGTGTTTTGGGTGAATGTGTGAAGAATAATTGTAAAATGTGGATTTTTAAAAATTAGCTATTAACAATAAGTAGAATTATGCATATATTTTAAAAGGATCATGAACTCAAGAATATTCTTTTTTTAATTTTTAAGATTAATTACAGTTTAAATACAAAAATATCAACTTTCCAGAATAAATCCTGTATGTTTTGATAAGTGGATATGATTGCACACTACTACCAAGATAAAAATATTGCATAGTTCAGTCTCACCAATAAATGTCCCAGTGCCACTTTGTAGACAACCCCCTCTTCTAACCTTCTAACTTAACTTTCTAACTTAACCTTCTTATTGTTCTTCTAACAATCTGTCCCCATAGCTTTCCCTTTTCAAAACTGAAATGTACAGTATGTCATCTTTTGAGATTACTCCCTCTCTTTTGGGAGATCACTTCTCTACAAAAAGTCTTTTTGTGTATGTGCTCCTTCAGTAGGATACCAATCTTGATTCTATTCATCATATCCACAAAGGTTCTATAACCATCATTGTCTTTATCCATTGGATCCCTCCTATCTCCTGTCAGAGGCACCTGTAACCAGCTTTGTAGTCTTCTAGGCATGAAACAGGTACTACCTCTTATGTGAACAAGTAGGGAGAGAAGGGAGGAAACATATTCTTATAATTTGAATTCCATTTAAGGAAAATACAACTCTCACTCTCTCTCTCTCTCTCTCTCTCTATATATATATATATATATATAGAAAGAGTTTTAGATATATAAATAAGTATATATTTATATATTTAAAAGAAATATATTTTTAATATATGAATATTAAATATATAAATTTAATATATGTGGTAATTTATTAATTTAATTTAATTATAAATTGAAATTTAATTTTAATTAATAAATAATATATATTTAAATATATAAACATATATTTAATTTAAGAGTTTCCATGAGTTTACTTTTCTTTTTAAAGATTTATTTATTTGAGAGAGAGAGAGCAAGCAAGCATGAGCGGGAGGGGCAGAGGGAGAGGGAGAGAGAACCTGGAACAAGACTCATGCTAGGCTCTGAGCCTGATGCAGGACTCAATTCCACAACACTGAGATCATGATCTGAGCCAAAACCAAGAGTCTGATGCTCGACCAACCAAGCCATCCAGTTGCCCAAGCCTGAGTTCACTTTCATGTGAACACAAGTTTTTAAATTATTTGAGTAAATACAAGAAGGTTAACTGCCCTGTCATATGGCAAGAATATGTTTAATTTTGTAAGAAATCATTAAAATTTCTTCCAAAATGAAAGTACAAGTTTGCTTTCTCACCAATAATAAATGTGAATACCTTTGCTTCATATCTTCCCCAGCATTTTGGCCATTCTAATAGTGGTAGCCTTATTTAACCATAAGCAGAACAAGAATCTTAGTTCTCATTGCCCCATAACTCCTATTCTTCCCAACTGATTCAACTTGAAATTCCT